AGAAAAAGGGCCAAAATGACGCATGCATGGCCTAAAAGACGGGTACGAGCTCGTATGCGAGACACTCATGCACATGAGAAGCGGCGTGTACAAGGCAGTAGACAAGGGCGTGCACACGCGCACTGGCGTAGACGCGCATGGCGTCTAGAGGCTAGAAAAAGCGGCGCCGCAGGGGGTGGATGTTGGGTGGTTGATGCGCGCAAGGGGCTGCGGCGAATGGACAGCGAGTGCGCATAGGCGCACGAGCGAGTGCGAGGGGTGGCCGGGCAAGCGGACCACGTTGGGCTTGCGCAGCATGCACGGAGGTGGCAGGGACGCGCAGACGATGGGTAGCGACGAGGGGCGATGGCCTAGACCGCGTAGGCATAGGAGTACCGGACGACGACCGCGGGGCGCAAGGCAACACACGCGAGGAACAATGCAAGAACAAGCGTGCAAGCCTAATCCTCGTAGGAATAGGCAAGGCGGGAATACTAATCCTCGCAGGAATAGGAAAAGCAGTTGAGTGCCGGAACGCGCGTGGGAGATCGATGACAGAAGTAATCCTCAGAAGATCAGGAAACGTAACCGGGATCATATTCCTAGTAGGAATAGGAATAGTGGATATGGGCTCGAAGCATGGTCCAACAAGGAATAGGAGTGGCGCAGCAGGCGCGCGAGACCTAGTCATCGAAGGACTATGCAAGCGGGGCGGTGCGCGCGCACGTGCAGGGCAAGGCGCGCGACGCCTAGCGCCACGAGGAGTAGGCGACGTGTAGGGCGGCCGAGTACGCAAGGGCGGTTTGGAGTTTGGGCGTGTGACTTGGAATTGCTTGGTGTGCAAGCCAAGCATTAGTATTTTGGTAGTAGTAGGATTTTATTGCTTTCTAGTATTAGGATTTCTATTATTTCAAGATTTAGGAGATCTAGTTTATTTAGGCTTAGATTTATTTTGCACCTATAAATACCCCATGTACCTCATCATTATTTGGATGTCTTGAATTGAGTATTGAATTGGTGAGCCAATTGTGAGGGGAACTTATGTTCTTACGTGTGTTTAAACAAGGTCATTAGTGCGTGTTTACATACAGTGTCGGAGAGAAGGCCATTAGAGCGTCTTGAAGTCACAGTGTCTAGGAGAAGGCCGATAGTGCATCTGTTAGATACACCTATCGTGGATAAACGAAGGCCCTAGTGCGCGTTTATTCACAACCACCGTATAGATAACAACACGATCCGTCATCATTGGTGCTTTCATTGAGAGGTGTTGATCGTATTTTTATCTATCCTATCTTTCTTTTTTTTTTGGTTTGCCTTTTGCTGAGGGGCCGAATTTCTTTTCTTTTTTTTGGGTCGAAATTTTCGAAGTTCTTGTTCGAATTTTTCAATTGTTTTGTACGTCTTAAAAAAAAGTGTCATCTAGTCCTTTGTTTGATTTTTGTTCGGTTATTACCTTTTGTTGAGGGGCCGAATTTCTCTTTTGTTTCTTGAATTTTTTGGTTCGAATTTTTATTCTTAGAGTCATAAAAAAAAAAAGAGAGAGAATCATGATGTTTGAGCCAATAGATGAGTGGGATCAAGAAGATCTCGAATACCTCGAAAGTTTGGAGAGGGAATTAACCCCTTGGGAGCAAGAGTATTTGGAGGAGATGTACGAGCAAAAGGAGAAGTTCGAACGACAACTAAAGATCGTGGAGGAGGTCATCGAAGGAGAGCCCTTGTTTACGTTCGATCTACCGGGCTATGTTGAAGACAAGGCGGTCGAGTGTAAGGTCGACCAAGTCGAGCGCGAGGAACCGTTGTTCGCCGATGAGTTCACGGACGAGGAGAACCGAGAGAGAAAGTCGTACAAGCAGGAGACCGACGCCGAGTACACCATGGTGAGTTCGGGTGATTGGAGCAAAGCGTGCGCGCAGGAATGGCACGCGCAACACATCGAGGTCAAGGAGGCGATCATGGTCGAGGTCGAAGAGGACCATGGGTGGGATGTGCGCATGGTCGAAAAAAGAGTGCCCGATGTGTGGATGGTCGAGGATGAATCCTTGAGGACAAGGAAAGTCTCGAAGAGGAGGGGAATGATACGGAAGTGGGTTCCGGACCCCTGTGACAAGAAGGGCCGAGGGCCAAGAGGACTCAAGGAGGCTGGAAAAAGGGCCAAAACGACGCATGCATGGCCTAAAAGATGGGTACGAGCTCGTATGCGAGACACTCATGCACATGAGAAGCGACGTGTACAAGGCAGTAGACAAGGGCGCGCACACGCGCACTGGCGTAGACGCGCATGGCGTCTAGAGGCTAGACAAAGCGGCGCCTCAGGGGGTGGATGTTGGGTGGTTGATGCGCGCAAGAGGCTGCGGCGAATGGACAGCGAGTGCGCGTAGGCGCACGAGCGAGTGCGAGGGGTGGCCGGGCAAGCGGACCACGCTGGGCTTGCGCAGCATGCACGGAGGTGGCAGGGACGCGCAGACGATGGGTAGCGATGCGGGCGATGGCCTAGACCGCGTAGGCATAGGAGTACCAGACGACGACCGCGGGGCGCAAGGCAACACACGCGAGGAACAATGCAAGAACAAGGGTGCAAGCCTTATCCTCGTAGGAATAGGCAAGGCGCGAATACTAATCCTCGCAGGAATAGGAAAAGCAGTTGAGTTTCGGAACGCGCGTGGGAGATCGGTGACGGAAGTAATCCTCAGAAGATCAGGAAACGTAACCGGGATCATATTCCTAGTAGGAATAGGAATAGTGGATATGGGCTCGAAGCATGGTCCTACAAGGAATAAGAGTGGCGCAGCAGGCGCGCGAGACCTAGTCATGGAAGGACTAGGCGAGCGGGGCGGTGCACGCGCGTGCAGGGCAAGGCGCGCGACGCCTAGCGCCACGAGGAGTAGGCGACGCGTAGGGCGGCCGAGTACGCAAGGGCGGTTTGGAGTTTGGGCGTGTGACTTGGAATTGCTTGGTGTGCAAGCCAAGCATTAGTATTTTGGTAGTAGTAGGATTTTATTGCTTTCTAGTATTAGGATTTCTATTATTTCAAGATTTAGGAGATCTAGTTTATTTAGGCTTAGATTTATTTTGCACCTATAAATACCCCATGTACCTCATCATTATTTGGATGTCTTGAATTGAGTATTGAATTGGTGAGCCAATTGTGAGGGGAACTTATGTTCTTACGTGTGTTTAAACAAGGCCATTAGTGCGTGTTTACATACAGTGTCAGAGAGAAGGCCATTAGAGCGTCTTGAAGTCACAGTGTCTAGGAGAAGGCCGATAGTGCGTCTGTTAGATACACCTATCGTGGATAAACAAAGGCCCTAGTGTGCGTTTATTCACAACCACCGTATAGATAACAACACGATCCGTCATCATTGGCGCTTTCATTGAGAGGTGCTGATCGTATTTTTATCTATCCTATCATTCTTTTTTTTTTTGGTTTGCCTTTTGCTGAGGGGCCGAATTTCTTTTCTTTTTTTTTTGGGTCGAAATTTTCGAAATTCTTGTTCGAATTTTTCAATTTTTTTGTAAGTCTTAAAAAAAAGTGTCATCTAGTCCTTTGTTTGACTTTTGTTCGGTTATTACCTTTTGTTGAGGGGCCGAATTTCTTTTTTGTTTCTTGAATTTTTTGGTTCAAATTTTTATTCTTAGAGTCATAAAAAAAAAGAGAGAGAATCATGATGTTTGAGCCAATAGATGAGTGGGATCAAGAGGATCTCCAATACCTCGAAAGTTTGGAGAGGGAATTAACCCCTTGGGAGCAAGAGTATTTGGAGGAGATGTACGAGCAAAAGGAGAAGTTCGAACGACAACTAAAGATCGTGGAGGAGGTCATCGAAGGAGAGCCCTTATTTACATTCGATCTACCGGGCTATGTTGAAGACAAGGCGGTCGAGTGTAAAGTCGACCAATTCGAGCGCGAGGAACCGTTGTTCGCCGACGAGTTCACGGACGAGGAGAACCGAGAGAGAAAGTCGTACAAGCAGGAGACCGACGTTGAGTACACCATGGTGAGTTCGGGTGATTGGAGCAAAGCGTGCACGCAGGAATGGCACGCGCAACACATCGAGGTCAAGGAGGCGATCTTGGTCGAGGTTGAAGAGGACCATGGGTGGGATGTGCGCATGGTCGAAGAAAGAATGCCCGATGTGTGGATGGTCGAGGATGAATCCTTGAGGACAAGGAAAGTCTCGAAGAGGCGGGGAATGATACGGAAGTGGATTCCGGACCCCTGTGACAAGAAGGGCCGAGGGCCAAGAGGACTCAAGGAGGCTGAAAAAAGGGCCAAAACGACGCATGCATGGCCTAAAAGACAGGTACGAGCTCGTATGCGAGACACTCACGCACATGAAAAGCGGCGTGTACAAAGCAGTAGACAAGGGCGCGCACACGTGCACTGGCGTAGATGCACATGGCATCTAGAGGCTAGACAAAGCGGCGCGCAGGGGGTGGATGTTGGGTGGTTGATGCGCGCAAGGGGCTGCGGCGAATGGACAGCGAGTGCGTGTAGGCGCACGAGTGAGTGCGAGGGGTGGCCGGGCAAGCGGACCACGCTGGGCGTGTGCAGCATGCACGGAGGTGGCAGGGACGCTCGGACGATGGGTAGCGACGCGGGCGATGGCCTAGACCGCGTAGGCATAGGAGTACCGGACGACGACAGCGGGGCGCAAGGCAACACACGCGAGGAACAATGCAAGAACAAGGGTGCAAGCCTAATCCTCGTAGGAATAGGCAAGGCGCGAATACTAATCCTCGCAGGAATAGGAAAAGCAGTTGAGTGCCGGAACGCGCGTGGGAGATCGGTGGCGGAAGTAATCCTCGGAAGATCAGAAAATGTAACCGGGATCATATTCCTAGTAGGAATAGGAATAGTGGATATGGGCTCGAAGCATGGTCCTACAAGGAATAGGAGTGGCGCAGCAGGCGCGCGAGACCTAGTCATCGAAGGACTAGGCGAGCGGGGCGGTGCGCGCGCTCGTGCAGGGCATGGCGCGCGACGCCTAGCGCCACGAAGAGTAGGCGACGCGTAGGGCGGCCGAGTACGCAAGGGCAGTTTGGAGTTTGGGCGTGTGACTTGGAATTGCTTGGTGTGTAACGCCCCGACCGACTAATACATCAGAGTACGCGATTTTTCGCAAAAAAAAATCTGAATAAATAAATAAATAAACTAACTTTTTAATTTTGCGAAACTGATTCGGGGG